AAACCATACTCTCTGACCACCAACACCCCCTCTATTCCCAACTCTCGCCTTGCATCTCATCAGGTAGAACCAGAAATCAGTATAAAATAATCTATGCTCGTACAACCAAGTACAGGAACTCAACGATACCATATTTGGCCCGTGTTCTAAGTGACAGAGACAATGTTAAGCGCGAAACCTATGACTTGCTTTGTTGTTAATAACATAATTTTAGGCTCTTTTATTTCTCTCTTATTTTGTATTCTATAGTGAACACCTTCTTAAACATACTTAGCTACCTAAATTAATAACATTGGCTTACTTTTTTGTACTTTACTTTATTCCTTCTTTTGTGTATCTACTGGTTCCGACTATATTAGCACTATGAGTATTACAAAATTGTTCTGTCATTAAACATCATGTAATTATTAGTTTGTGGTTGTTGTTTATTTGTTCGGCAATATTAACTGACAATCTTGGTTGTGAACGCCATTATCACCATCTTAAAATTTTGTATTATGCAGGATTACTCACACTACCACTACAAATACCACATTAGACCTGACAATAAAAAACCCTGAAATGTTATTTTATGATTGTTTAGTGTTGTTCAATCAAATTAACTGATCATCTTGGCGATAAACATGCTTAAATATCATTTCATAACTTCTTTTATGACTATAGCTTTACTGTCACCATGCATAAACATATCATAGCTTCCACTACCCAATACTGAGATATTATTTTATGTTATTTATTTTCCTTTCTACTTCTGGGTATTTTTTCGCACCCTTTTTATTATTTTTGTGCTTTCGTGTTTTTTTTTGTTGTTGTTGTCTTTATATTTATTTTTTTGAAATACTCACTTTTAAATGTTTGATAAAATTAGATGCAAATATTGTAGATATGTGCTGAAAATTCCACACTGTACCACTAGTACTGTTTCTGGAATAAAGCAAATTATTATTCTATTAATCTGACCCTTGACCAGAAATTATTATGGAACTTTCCTACCCATTTATTATAAATACACGAATGTACAGCCTTGTCGTTGATGACTTCGTCGAAAAGAAAATTTTCTTCGCTGCAACTGTCTTTTTATTCCCAATGATCAAATGTGTATATTCCGAAATATGAATCAGCTGTGGAAATGTAATTGCACTGCATGTGTCAAAATGTTTGAAATTACTACATACATCTTTTGAGCACGAGGATATGCAATTAATGCGATCAGCGTTCTACGTGAATGAATCAATCTAATTATCTTTGAAAGCTAAATAAAGAATAGTTACAGTCTAATATGACTTGGCAACTAAGAAGCTAAAATTTCGTCATTTTACTAACTTAATTTGTAGAAATAACCACTGAATAATATTCGGGGGCTCTTATCTTAACCCAACCAATTATTTTAGCACTCGAAATTACATTTCAAAATGAACGGTAAGTGTCTTGCTTATTAAATGGTATTTGTTTTACAGGTCAGCATCGATAATCTCTTCACAAAGGGAAAATTTGTAAGTGCTTTTCATAGATAATTTATTTCTACTACTTACAATTTATCATAGTGAATATATTGATTTTTCTCACAAATATTTATATATAATTGAAGATTTGCTTACTTAAACATGAGATAATTATACACTTCAATGAATAAAGACAAAATTTGTCCTTCACAGTACCAAATCACTCTCATTATCATGATTCACTCGAAGACACAAACACAAAACTATGAATAAAGTTTCCTTTTCAACACTTGATGCATATATATGTATATAAATTTATGCATATATGCATTTTTCCAAAGAGGCTGAATTCTGAGATAACACGATTACTGTTTCTTGTCTTATTCGTTTATAAAAAAGATAGTGAGATTTTGAAACGATTGAAAATTGTCATTTTATCGCATACAAATTATACTTTTTCAAGGCTGAGATGAAAATTGTAAAACGTGTAAAATATTTTTATTCATGATATTTGAAGAAAGCGGTAGAATTTTAAATTGATCGGGAAATAGTATTAGTCTCAATTGAACATTGATTATTTAGCGCTTGATTTCCACTTTATTTATTCAGTGCTTAGTTAGCCCATTTCAAACCTACACTTATATATATTTGAAAAGTGAAGAATAAAAGTGAAATTGTTAATATCAAATGCATGTAAGAATCAAATCTCAGAAAACTTATTTCTTTAACATTTTTTGGTGTACTTTTTTATTTATTCTCTACGTTCACAGTGGAACATAGGGCTTCAAGTTAGAGACTTGAAGTTTCTCTAGCAGTGGTGTTTACTTTTACGGGATGGGGTTGGGAGCCTCATACCTAACCTTTCCTCTCTACCAGTCTTATTCCTGGCTTAGTGAGGTAAAGGAGTGGCGTCGGCCGGGGATCGAACTCCGGACCACATGCGTGGTCGGCGAGCATTCTACAGCTGTGCCACCGACGCACCGTTTTAGTGTATGCAAAAATTTTATAAGGTCAGAAAAAGCTAAACTGTGTGAAAAATTAATTGAATAAGCTACTCCAGTGTAAATTCATCAAGTAAATACAAATTAGGTTGTTGTCAAATATTAGACAGTGATTATTTTTCAACTTCATGGTAATTCCTGATGTTTTATCATAGAATAACTCTACCTGATATAAAATACACAATGGTATAGTATTATTTACTGATGGAATTTCAAGTATAATATATACTGCTCATAATCGTATTGCCTTGATGCGATAATGAACAAAATATTGTTTTCGAAACATCATCAGTAGATAACACTGTCACGGTGTGTTTTTATATTACACAAAACTATTCTATGATGAAATGATACTCTCTACCACAGTGTTCAAATACTATTCTTATAATTCCTGATGTCTTTCAAGCTGTTACAGTGATACACAGATATAAAGTAAATCACACTAACAATGACTACGACATTCCAATTGACATTCCAATTCACTTTCAGTCAAACTCAGAAGATATAATTGATTTCAATAAAAAAAGTGAAATTTTGTGCTCAATTTGTTCATAAAAGAATGAAAATCAACTAATAATAATGATTCAATATAATGACTTATATAGAACCTAACCGACTGAACTGTTCAATTTTTAGTTCATTTTGTAAAAATCAAAATGATTTAATTCATTTAAGTGGAGATCAGCGGCAGTCAGTATGAAAATAAATCATTGCTACTCACTATACGGATCAGAAACTTGGCACTGCGTCATGAAGGGTACTTCGAACAAACTACACACCTTCATCAACACCTGTTTTCACTCACTACTACTCAAGATCAGATGACCGGCTAGAAAAGATCAGCAACAGGGATCTCTGGGAGCGAGCCAATCCAGCAAGAACCGATGGTGCGGGAAATATGCAAGAAGAAATGGAGGTGGATTAGTCATATACTGAGAAAACAGACCGTCAGGTGACATCACACACCAGGCCATCACTCAAGCGGAACGCGGATGGGAAGCGGCCAGTTGGTGGGTGACATCGAGGATGGGATCATGCGAAGAGGAGATGAAAGCATGTGGGCAGACGTGGAGCCAGGTGAAAATATTCGTGAAGAACCGAAAGCTGAGGTCCTTTGTTCCTCTAGGAACTATAGGAGATAATAATAATAAGTCCTAACTAACGATATCTAAAGCCTATTTTAATGAAGATAAGCCGACTTTTTCACTATTATTTATGGTGAGAAGATTTAATTTAAGGAAACTTAGTAAATTGTTTTAGTCAGAAAGTGATTGAGTTGAATTTCACACACCTGCGCTTCATTACTCATATAAACATATATATAAATAAAGATTTCATTGTATTTTTATATCTTCATTCTTGATATAATCTAAAACACTCACAGTTTTCTCCTTTAATTTATTTCCTGTTTAACACGTTCCAACTGATCAGTAACTATTACGACAGTAAACTAATTATAATATTAAACTTTCTTCCATAACTCGAAGTCATTTGTTTGATTTTGGCTAGTGTAAGTGAAATCCTGGAGGCTAGCTTCCGCCTACTGAAGATTCGTCAGCTGGATGTACCCACTCCGTAGTGAACGACAGAGCCCACATGCAAAAATCAGTCTGGTCATTTCGGTTCAGAAGTGTTAATGAGAAATGACACGTATGAACAAATAATTTCACTTCATGGAGTCTGTCATGACCTTCTATTTGTAGGCATTTACAAACTATAATAATATGCGTAATATATATATATATATCTTACGTTTTGACTGAAAACAGTAAAAGTTATTTTACTAGGTGACTGATAAATCACACCTGTGATGTGGAGAAATCTCACGGTCACATTTGATTAAACGAGATAATATGCTGATAAGACACTGGAAATTCCATCTTTTTATTTAGAACCTCTCCTATCTAGGGGTATGTCATACCATTATGGCCAAGCCTTTACCCAATCATCTTGAAATGATAAGGAGTGACCATTACCATCCTATAATAACTAGTGCCAGAAAGAGATATCTGGATTTTGTAAGATGAGACGAGAAATACAACATACGATGATACGTTTGACAGTAGAAATACTACAATCCCCGTCTGACTCCTTAAATAACGTCATTATTAAATTTTAGTTGAGTCGGATGTTTTAGGAAATTTAGAACAACTAAGTTTAATTATATATATAGATCTAAATGCGACATGTTTCTTGCAAATATTTATGAGATGAGACAGGTACAAGATAGTCAGATAAAGCAGCTATACAACATTTTTACTGAACCTTTCAAAACCTCTGTACACACCAAATAGAAATCAGAAAAAGTTATCTTACTTAGCTTTTTATTAAATTAGACATAACTATATGTCTGTTAGTTTTAAAGGCCTTAATTAAAAAGAAGCGACAATTAGGAAGACTCATGTTTTAAAAGTATTTTTGTTTCGGACAGTGTAAGTTCTCTTAATTGTTCAGCCCACGGTTATCAGTGGAAGGATGATAACTTCCAAATTTAACAGCTATTTTATGAGAATCAAAAATTATACAACAAAAAATGCATGTGTCCGCACACACTTACCCAGCTGGTATGTTATTAAGACACTAGTCAAGGTATGATGTTGAGTTATATTTGGTGACAGCTGACACGCTAGTGAGGATTCTGGTGTCATTACTGGTCTCAACAGCGAATTATTATGATTGTTTCTATGAAGTGTACAATATGGTACATAACTGTTTTGTGGTAAAAGAATATACGTTAGCGGATTGCTATTATTTACATTAGTAGTATTGTTAACACATGAATTTACATTATTTCCAGGAAAACTTGTAGTGGATTTTGTGTTTTCTAAATTATTTGTCAATCCTGAAGGACTGTTAATACTATTAGAAGCAAGGGAAGCAACAATTGGAACTACAGATGTCACATGGGCATTGGTGGAACAATAGGTGGTAAACATAATTTTATTTGAGGTCAATGATGGGTTCACATTTGACTTGTAGGTTTCATTATTGTGTGTACAGTTCCCTGACTTCAACAGTTTTGGAGATTGCTGACTTAAATTCACTGAATTTTCATTGAATTGATGCGAATTCACAAAACAGTTGGAATTCATTTGATGACTGCATTCTTTTTGTGGATCCATTGTTATTGAAGCAACTTCTATAGTCCGACACTTTTCAGTCATATTCAAGATATTTTTTATGAATAAGCTGGTAACATTTTTATAGCTAATTAAAATAACGAAGAAGATGAAAATGTTCATTCATCGTGAAAACTTTTGTTTTATCAGCCATTTTTGATGCTGTTACCAGTAAAAGCTTTCGGTTAGTGAACTAACTTAAGCATAAAATTAAATTATACGCCAAAAATGTATCATTTTTTCACTAAACAAATATTATAATCAACCAATCAGCATTCAGTATTTAGGGATTATGGATTTATAGGACTGCTAAGAATAACCGAGGAATGAAAGTTAGATATTAAATAGGGATTATAATTTTCAGTTTTGTTTTTTTAATTTGTTTCATGAAAATGTCTATGAACAAGCATAATTTCGCAAATTTTACTAGTTTTATGAAAATTAAGCACACTTTTCTGTCTATTGTGTTCACTATAAGCCTATTGTTAGTATTAGAGATGTGATGTTTTATTGTGATGTTGCCGCCAATCGTCTTGGAGCATTTTGATTGATAAATAATTTCAGTCACACTTTCAGTACCTCTGTGAAACATACTTAAACTACTTTTGTAGAAATCAAAACTCAGTGGTAATGAAATAGGGGTTATCACCTGTTGACGTTTATCATGTAAATACCTAGCTCGATCTTCATCTGTAATCCTCACAAAACTGCTATTCCCTCTAAAAGTGAAATATGGATTCTACATCAACCTCAGAGACTTCTTTGATAACTCAATCAAACTAAGAGTGGATTATAGGTACAAATCATTTTAAGGTATTTCCATTAAGACTATCTGGTCAAAGTTCAGTTAAGGTGACTCTTGAAGTACCACATTTAACTTTTACCTTCTAAGAGTATTATTTCACAAACACAAATAAACCATAAGCGGTATCATGTAAACTGTAGGTTAACATACTGAAGGCTTTTGCCTCACTCTTAGCTTAAAGTTTAAATCTACATAATCTAGAATGCTTCATTATTGTTAGTGTTGATATAAAAATATGCTGAAGATAAATGCAGAGCATTAATCACAATAATACGTTTTACAAACTGGCTATCAACGTCAGTTTACATACATTGTGAACAAAATATTGGAACAAACACCAAGTTTGATGATATTAGATGGTTGGAGGCAATCGGCAGGAAGCCTTGGACCTAGGTTTCGTGCTAGTTGGCACTCATTAGCAAGGCGTATCTGCAACATTGAAGGAACTTGTGTCCCCCGTGAGATTCGAACCTGCGTCACCCAGTGCTGCAGTCAGAGACGTTACCACTGAGCTATTGAGGCTTGCGACTGACCTCCTGTAGGACTGTAGTGGATACTTTGATTGGACATTAGTAACTAGTGTGATGTGTCTAGTCCTTTCTTTGGTACAGACTGAATTCTAAAATGGTGGCCACATTGCAAACTTCACTAATAGAATTCAGCCTGCGTCAAACAAAGGACTAGACACATCACACTAGTCACTAGTGTGCAATCAAAACACCAAGTTTCTCAAAAAGTAAATAAATGTGTAGAATTCCATTAAAAATTCATGAAACTTATCGTTCATGTATGACTTATTATGTTAACTTAACGGTAGAATAATAACCATATATCAGTTATGAGAAATGATCTAATTCATTTCAAAGTACACCGTGCTCGTAAGCTTTCTAACTCGGTGATCACACTACAAACTAGACTGGCAGATGAAATGCACTCAGAACTAAAAACCCCATACCATAATAGTAGTAACGCCCCAGTGATTAATCATTTTTCTACTGTTCTGTACTTGTCATATTTATAGATATACAATATTTATTTTAATAACCATATAAAAAGAAAATCTGAATTCTCAAATAAATAAAAGCATCAATTCACTTAATATATATAACAAGTGCATAAATAATTCACTCAGAATAGTTTAAATTTTTACAAAGATTCAATTAAAAATTATATTCGACATTCTTGTCTCTTCAGAAGATCATAGATGACTGATTTCGATAATTAAACCGGAAAATTATTCACAAGCTATGACGTGTGTACTTGAGTTATTTATTTTGGCCAATTAAAATCTAGAGAGCTCTTCTAAGCTTCTATCAAAAACCCGATAATAATAATAAGAAAAAGAATAGTATGCTGAAATAAAGCGAGAACCACACATGTACCAGGATAATGTGAGCACATCTTTTATTATTTCTATAATTCTTCTCAACTGGTTACAACCTGAACAAGTCGTAACCAGTAGGGTGCAGCAGGTCGGGTGTGAGGACAAATATTTGCCGAAGACATTGGCTAGCGGTTGCGCTATATCGTGAATTGGCAGAAGTTAGAATTCATGGGCCGTTGGGTTGGGTCCCAGTGGCTTAATAGAAGGTCCTGGGTTCGAACCCTGGTGGTGGGTGCGTGCTGATGAAGAGTCCCAAACTAGGCTGACGAAACAGCTGGCTGTCCAGTACTCCCTGCAGGTTTTCCAATGGTTCTCTAACCAATGTCAGCTCATGATGAAATCCTGTAACAAAAATATAAATTACATCAAAGATTTGAACTTACTTTTTACGCAATGACAAAGAGTAATTGGTAGGAACTAAGAGTAACAGAAATCCGGAATGACGTAAGCTGTTAACTAATTAAGAGTTAAATGGATTGACTATTTATAGGATAATTAGACAAAAAGGCTTGGAAACAAAAGGACAGAGTCATGAAAGATAGTTAATATTGATCCTTCTCCCTCACTGAATGACAATACAGAAACTGGCGACAAACAATCACATATCTAACTATGAGACACCTTGTTATATATACAATGGTATGTTTGTAAATCTCTTTTGTTATGCAACATTCACAGACTTCAACTAAAGTAGATGACGATTACTCATTTATTATTTAGTCTCAATTATGAAATTTCTAGCCTAATGAAGGTTTGGTGAGATGCATTACAAACTGGGTTTTTTTCTCAAACATATATAAATAATTTATGTGATGTTATTTGTATACAATGAGTCTTCATTTGTAGGAGGTGAATTCCATTATTACTTCACTGATCGTCTTTGTTGTATATATTCCAATTATTGAAACTGAAATGTATTCATATAAACCACACAGCTATTTCTTAATGCAGTCGGTAACCAGCCAACACTATTTCTGATTTATGCGTGAAAACAATAATTTAGTGATTTTCAGAAATGAGAATTATAAACATTTCCAATTTGACTGCTTTACAAGTGTGCTCATTGTCCAGGAAGTTTAGAAGTATTGATTTTTATGAGCCGTCTTAATCACAGCTATTATTTTATTATTGTTCTGATAGGTTCCAAGTAGGACAGAGTGGGGTTTTCCGGATGAGCAGTGTCACTCAACAGTCTCCTCGGGGTATGTCTGAATCATCTTCATTTCCTTCTACATATTTGTAGGGCAGCAGTTTCTTGGTTGGTTCATTGCCAGAGTTCCGTGCTGCCTATCCTTTCTGCCCAGCAATCTGATTTCAGTATGGCGCGAAAATGGTTGTTGAGAAAAATCTGCAGCACTCTGTTGAAAATACTTGTCGTATTGTGCCCAGTCTGTAAACCACACAGAAGCTCTAACTTGACATTAATGTTGACATCCTTATACTGAATGCAGCTGATTTTCAGCCTGACTTCAGAGTAATGAAGGCCTGTCTTGCTTTTCCTATCCTGCCTTCAACTTTCTTACCCATGCTGCCACCTGTAATTGAAACGATACTAGCTAGATCAGGTAAGGGAGGCAAACCACTTCCCTTAGATTTATTGTATTCATGGTGATTGACACTCGCTGTTGTTGCTTTGGGTATCTTCATCTCCTCTGTCTTCTCTGTGTTCCCCTGAAGTCCTGTCTTCGTTGCCTTTTATGGCAATTTTTTGGTTATTGGTCGCAAATTTTCGAGTTTTTGAGACATGAGATATGAATCATCCATGAAATCCAGATCTTCCTGAGTCTTTTTGTTTACTCAACTTGTGCCGTACTTCTCTCTTCCCACGGCAGGTTGATGATTCAGTCCACTACAGTCAGAAACATCATCAGAGATAGTGGACAGTCTTGTCTCCTTCCTGTCTTACTTCAAAGGCTTTTCTGAAACTTCCATTGCGAATCACTTAACCTGTGGCATAATCATTTAGCTGCTGAATGAGGTTTATGAAGGTTTTAGGAACTGCACTCCGTAGTATCGAAGCGATTTCCAAATAAATTCATGGTAGACACAATCAGAGGCCTTCTCAAAGTCGATGAAGTCGAGGTTTAGAGTTGACTGGTATTCTATGCTCTGTTCGATGGTAATGCGTAGTGGTGTTATTTTGTCACATATGGTCCCTTTCTTCACAAATAAAATGAGAATACTGGAGAGCACTATATAATAATACACTGCACAAATTTACCTTCATTCTTCTCGTGAAATGATTCAGTATTTAGGCTGTGGTAGTTGGGCCCTTCGTATTTAAAACTATATCCATATGTAAATTTCGAAATTTTCAAAGTCGCCGATTAGTACTGATGAAGTGCTTTTGAAAGATTGAGATTCTGGTACAATTGCCTTACTGTTCAAAAAAGGTTTGAGACTTCCGTCAGAGATGACCAAATGTCATTCTTTGTCAAACATAAACTTTGGAAAGGATATTTAGAGCTCTCAAACATCGAAAAGAGTTCTATGCTTAGAGAAGTGGTCTTCAGAAGTGTTTCTACTATTACTTCAAATGTTATTAACTGTTATTAACTTGGCTTAAGTCAGTGAGTCTATGATTTTGGTATCATTTTGGTTAACTGTACTTGACTGTGATATTATTATTGTTGTTGTCGCTTGTTACCCTTCTTGTTGTGAATTATTTTCCTGTGCTGGTGTTCAAACTACCAAAGAAAGGAGACTTAAGTCAATGCAAGAACTGGTGCGGAATTATGCTCCTGTCCATCCCAAGCAAAATACTAAGCCACATCATCCTGGAGAGAATCAAACAAGCCCTGGATGAAAAACGTCGACCAGAACAGGCTGGATTTAGGAGAAACAAGTCATGTATTGATCAGATCGCCACATTACGGATCATCATTGAGCAAAGCTTGGAATGGCAGTCACCTCTCTATCTCAACTTCATTGACT